TTTAGGAACAAAAGTGTCATCCAATGCTCATTTCTATCCCAGTAAACATCTCTGAATTAACGCCTAGTCCACTAATTGTGAAGGTTTTTTATTAGCGTTCTACTTAACAAAGCACACACACGTTATGTATAATGTTGCTGTCATTCCCCCGGGGACGCACGCGGTGGTTTCTCGATCGCATTTGAAAGCAAGAGTGAGAAGGGGGTGGCTGGGAGCACAGAGGGAGCAAAACGGCTTTTTAAAAGTATGACGTTAATTTTGTAAGAAAAATAAAGCTTCTTAGACGGATCCTATCAAGTTACACCACCCAGTAAAGCAGAGGAACAGCATCGACTCACACGGCAGGGCCCAGCCCGGCGGCCTGGAGGCCGCGCTCGACAGTGCGCCAGGCTGTGGCCGAGGTCTGGGGGGAGGTTGTCACCCGCAGTGTTCACTTCGGACCCTGCAGCGGAGACGCTGCTCCCAGCCATGGAGACGGAGTGGGAAGACACAGGGTGGACACGTGGGTGGACACGGGGTGGACACGGGGGTGGACACGGGGGTGGACACGGGGTGGACACAGGGTGGACACGGGGGTGGACACGGGGGTGGACATGGGGTGGACACGGGGGTGGACACGGGGGTGGGCCCTGAACCCCGGCTGCGGGACCTCAGCCGGCACAAGGCCGAGGTGGCAAATGGACTCAGTGTGGGAGGAGAGGGCAGTGCTGGCTCCCCGTGACCTGGGGGTGGGTCTCAGGAGAGGATGGAGAATTTGTTCGAGTGCCTACCGTGCCCGCCCAAGGGCAGGTTGCGGTGCAGAAACGATGCAGTTAGTGTGGGTGTGGGTGGGGCTGGAGGCTGAGAGCAGAGTGTGATAAGGACAGGCCCAGGCTCGTAGAGTCAGGCTGTGGGCTGCCCCAGGGACCACCATGTCCCCACACGAGGGCTCAGAGCTCCCAGGAGAGCGAGGCATTTTTAACAAGGCTTGATCTGCCAGCTGGTGCGCGGAGGTGGGCCCACGTGTGCATTCTCCAGGAATTCCAGGGAACCCACTCCGGCCCCGACACAGACTCACGGTGTCACCGTGGAGAGGCGCACTGAGCACGCCGTGACGTGCCTAGGTGACAGAACTGCAGCACGTAGAGCTTTTGTTTTCTCTTTGTAAGATCGCCTCTAACCGCTTGTAAACTTTACCTTGGTCTCAAGCAACAATTTCATAGGAACGCATCCCTAACCCGCTTGACGGTTAAGCCCCGTGGTGTCGCAAAGGTGAATGGTCAGACCTCCCCACCCCAGGACATGCTCTGTGCCCAGAGAGACACGCCGGGGGAGTGGCCGAGGGTCGGGACGAATTCAGAACCTGTGCCGTCCACGCTCGCTCTGAGAGCCACTGGGCCCCGCCCCCTGTGAAGCGGGGTGACTGTCCCCTGCCTGTCCCTCCTCACTGGCACCTGGTGAGGACTCGGGTCCAGGAGGCCTCATAGGCTGCCCCGTAGCCTCCCGGGTCCCCGTGTTTCTAGCTGGTCTTGAAGACCAGGGACGGTAGCTCCCGCTGTACCCGCGCCCCGCTGAGCGGGGTATACACTTGGTGCACACTAAGTGTCAGTATTGTCAGGGAGGAAAGCCCTCCTGTGGCTGGGAGACGCACAGCCCGGGTCTCTGGTGCCACTTGAGACGGAAGTCTCATCTCGATAATAAAACTTCAAACAGGTGCCCACTGCGGGCTCTGATTGGGACCTCCCGCCGGGATGGGTGCCGAGGTCCCAGCTGTCCTGGCGGAGCCGGGCCTGGGACGGAAGCGCCAGGAAGCGGAACGGGCGCCCTGCCCGCCGGGGAGACCGGCCGCTCCTCAGACCCTTGGCGCCACGTTCAGGTCGCGCCGTGTCCGAGCCTCTCCTGCAGGTTCGCACCTCGCGTGTCCAGCTCCGCCCTCCGGTCCACCGTTCCGGCTTCAGCGGCTCCCAACCCTCCGTTTCACCCGGACAGCCTGTGTCTCGAGAGCGAGCTCGCCCTCATTTCCCAGTAACTGCTCCCCTTGGGTTTCACCTCTAAAAGTTCGGTTGGGCTCTTTTACTTTTTCTTTCCCGTTTTATCGAGATATAAGTTACAAACAGCATGGTGCAGGCGCAAGGTGTGCAGCACAACGACCTGACTCACAGCCGTCACGCAACGACGACCGCAGTAGTTCAGTGAACAGCCCTCATCTCAGGTAGACGCAAAATAAAATAGACACACCTTTTTCCTTGTGATGAGAAGTGTCAGGATTTACCCCTTAACGACCCTCCTCTACAGCACACAGCAGCGTTAACTCTGCTTCTCCTGTTGTACATCACACCCCTAGGACTCATCTACCTTATGACTGGAAGTTTGTACCTTCTGACGGCCTTCATCCGACTTCCCTCCCTCCCACCTCCCGCCCCTGGTTACCACAAATCTGATCTCTTTTTCTACGAGTCTTTTGGTTTTTGGAGTATAACTGACTTCAACGCTCTGTAAGCTCCTGTCACACAACATAGTGATTCGACATTTCTGTACTTCAAAATGATCACCACGGACGTCTAGTTACCACGTGTCACCATAGGATGACGTTACCTAGTTACTGACTGCATTCCCCACGCTGTACATTTCAGCCCTGTGACCCACTTACTTTGTAACTGGAAGCTTGTCCCTCCTCATCTCCCGCACCCATTGCTTTCTTCCCCTCTGGCAACCACTTGTTTGCTCTGTTTCTGTGACTCTGTTTTGCTGTTTGTTGGTTTTGTTTCAAAGCCACTTGCTCTTTCGCGCTGTTCTTCTTCTTTAAGCCATTTAAGATGCTTAAACCCATCACCACCTCCCCTTGTCGTGTTACCGCGGTTCTCCACAGCAGTGACCCTCGCCAACTGCGCTGCATTTCCTCCTGTGCTTTGCGACGTTTTATTAAGAGCTGATTGTCATGCGGGCATCTCCTCTGGGGGTTGCACAGGGTCCATCCAAGTGGTTTTGCCTCCCCTGAGGTTGGGAGCTCAGGGTTTTGTCGGGGTCGGATCAGATTTTCACCCCGCTTTTCAGCGAGGACTCCCTGTGCCCCGTGAACGTGGGGAACCAGCCCTAGCCCCGCAGACGGCGCCTGTCTTCTTCTGGCTGGACGGCGGGGCTGGCCCTTCTTCAAACTCCTCCCTCCCTTCTGTGGCTCCGAGGCAGGGGCATATCACAGCCAGCTTGTGTGCACTTGCAGGACCAGACTGTTAACTTTTTAGGAATTTTATGAGCTGGTTGTTAAATATAGCCACTATTAACATTCAATCATATTAACTGACAAACTAGATTGACACACAGGTAAGGAATACTCCAAACTTATCGCTTCCTAATTGTGTGAACTACACTTCACTCTCTCAACGCTATAGCTGTCTTCTCGTGTAATCCTTTTCATCTAGGGAGTCCACATTAAAGTCACTCATGGTGGGCGTGTTTACATCACAGAAATGAGCAAATATGACAAGTCAATGCTTTACGTTTGTCCGGTTGATCGTCTAGACTTGAAGTAAGGGTTGGAAAAGACACCGCTAATGCGATTAGACTTAAACGTGAGTGGTGTCTGCAAGGGTCACATCTGAACAGCACACGAAAACAGAGGACACATTCCTCCAGGCCCCAGAACCACGATCCAGCTCCGCAAAGAGGTAGCTGGCGCCACTGGTGAGCAGGGGAGTTCTGACCACACCACCTGTTAAGGTGAAAACAACCCGTGTTCAAGCTGGAACCACGGGTCGGCCACGGACGCAGGAATCCCACAAAACTGAAGCCAGCCTCCCGCGAGGATCCGTTAGCTCCGTGGCAGCCACAACAGGGAAGGCTGTGTGTTTTTATTGGTGCCGGTTGCATGCCTTCCCAGCACCCCCTGCGCTGACCCCAAGTGGACCGCGTGGACCCGGGCCTCCGCCCCCTCGGGTTCAGCAGCGATCACGCTGCCCACACGGATCCTTCCATATCCCACCTGTCTTTAGAGCTGCCTATGCACAACGTTTGCAAGGTCCATTTCTCCCAGCATCCCTCGATATTCCTGGCCGGAGGGGCATCTTTATGTCACATGCAGATTCTGGCACGTGTTTATCACGAGAAGTGTCACCCATTGCTATGTGCGCTTGTATGAAACAGTGACAGCAACTTTCCAACACACGGAAAGCAGAAGCTTCCTGGATGCCTGGGCGGGATTTTAACAAGGAGCAAACTCGGGCAAGGAGATGCTGGAGGGGCCGAGCTAGCAGAGTGCAAGTGGACGCCCATCGGTTGAGATCGGGGGTCGGATTTCTTGAGATACAAACACCAGCATTTAGTCGGACACCACAGGCCACGTGTCTTGCTACTGCCAGCCGAGACAGACCAGCACAGGACAAGAGGGAAGCTGCCAGGTCACACCCAGCAGCGCTGTCCTTCCGCGGCCAGGGTTTGACTGCTCCCAGCGTGTTCTCCAGTTTTGAGGCTCCTGGGACAGCCCGTGTCTCTGTGAAGTGGTGGAGGGCCCCCTCTCTTCTGAAGGCAGCAAAGAAAGGGCCACCGCCGCTCCCCGACACTCCCTGGGCAGACATGCACTAGAGGGGACAGGGACGCACAGAGCACACACCACTCCCCACTTTTGACTGAGATTCTTTAATCACTTTTTTAAAAACAGTTTTCATTTTCATTTTATTTATTTTTTATTTTTTTGGCCGCGCCGTGCGGCATGTGGGATCTTAGTACCCCGACCAGGGATCAAGTCCGCACCCCCTGCAGTGGAAGTGCGGAGTCTTCACCACTGGACGGCCAGGGAAGTCCCCTGTTTAATCACTTCTTTTTAAAAATCACTTTTTAATGAATAAAATCTCAGCGACACTCGACACCCCCCTGTACACACCCAGCTCTGCAAATAAAATAGCAACTCAGTATAGAGTTCTAAGGAATACACACACGTTGTTTCAGGAATCCAAACGCCCGCACATTCAGGAAACAGGAAGGATGGGAAAAAACTGCTCTCTCATCCCAAATAATGACCATTCAAATGTGAAACCAGAAGTTTAATCGGACACAATTAAATATATTTATATATCTCACACTGAAGAAACATAAGAAGTTAGAAATTACAAGTAGGTATATGCTTCCTATATTCAGATAAACTAGTTTCTATTAATTATTTAGATTCCAGATAGAGAGAAACAACGTTGGGAAAGAAATTATAGATATTAAAGCAGATATACATGACAACACCATTTAAAGACACAAACAACATTTTGGCATTTTTCTCCCCATTCAGCCGGCCGCTTTCCCTATTCTCCTGTCTTCTGAGATGTAACACCTATTTAAGATGGAAAGAACGGTGTGCAGCACGGGAAGCAGAGGTACCAGGGTGACCGGGGAGCGTCTTGTTCCCTAAAACGAGCCCAGCGACACCCAGGGCCGCCTGCACACCTTCCCAGATGTTTACACGTCTTCAGTTTAAGGAAGTGCATTCTCTGTTTCGGGGCGGGGGTGGTACATTTGGCGCTCAAGTGGTATTTTGGCAAATCCAGATCGTTGCTAGATGTGTGTGTCTCCGTGACATCAGACAAGGGGGCAGGCAAAGAGAAGAACAGTCTGGGCCCTGGGGGGAGCCCGGGCCATCCCTCTTCCCCAGCTGCTATGATCCCACGTGGGTAAAAAGCAAAAAAAATGCGGGTCTCCCTGCGTTCCTCCCATGGTGAAAGCACCCCTGGTCTTCTCTGGACGCCAGCAGGGCCCGAGCCTTCCCGGAGAGGGGACCACGGGTGCCTGCCGGGAGCCGGCCGAGTGCCCAGCTTTGCCCCGCACCCCCTCTGATTTTGGTCGCCCTGCAGGGAAGCGTTTAGCTGCGTCTGTGTAAATCCCTATTTGTAGTTCATAACCGTGTCTGGAGTTTGGGGCTCGCCCCCTACCTTGCCCAGGTGAGGCGTCCCTGCGGTGGCTAGCCTGGGAGCAGGCACTCTGGGTGGGAAAGCATTTGCCCCCAGCGGCCCTGCCCATCCTCGGGGGTGGAAGGTCGGGAGGGGCTGTCGACAGTGCTGGGCGGGGAGGCTGTTGAGCGGCGGGATCACACGAAGAGCTGGGACGACTTTCTTATTATCTGCCCCAAAGCTGCAGAACGTCACCATCCTGTCCACCTAACTCCTGAATAAGCCGCGGTGTCTCCAGTGATAAACTGTTGGCGAGACAAACGCCGACTGAGCTTCTTACAGCCGGCGGCCTCCATTCGGCGCCTCATGGCCTCTCCGGGCCCCGCCCTGCACAGCTGACACTCCTTCAGGAAGCGACAGGTCACGAGCCAACTCTATTCCGGGGACCACGCTGACTGCACCATCAGTACGACATGATTGCGGTTAAGAATGTGGATGGGTGCTTTAAGGAAAAATAAATTTTTTTTCAAGAAAGTGAAAATAGATGAACTGATTGCCCCCGGTAATTGCATCTTCCCACAGATCTCTCTTTATTATTGTCTGGTTGAACAAAAATACACATTTTAACTGCTAAACTGCACTGACTACAGAGTCTTAAGGACCCGATTACGAGGCAGCTGCACTGGGAGACGTGGTTAAGTCGTCCCGTGACTGCAGACGGCTTTCCCCGGGGCCTCGGGAAACGCACTCACTGGGGAAAGGCTTTGAGGATGGCGTTCACCTCCTCGGCCACGGCCGTCAGCGCAAACTCGAACTGCTCCTGGAGGGACAGAAGGAAGGAGATGTGAGCGGGGGTCCCTTCTACGCCAGCCTTGGGCTCCCGTGTGTTACTCTGCAGAAAGAAACTGTTTAGGAGAAAAAGGGAAAGGTCGCAGATTTCCGTGGAAAGAACAGGGCACTGGTTTGCAGGATAAGACCCAATGCCGACGGGCCACGCTTCTCGTGTGGGAAAGTCTCATGTTTTATGGCTGCAAGAAGCTGCCAGTAGACACAGGAGCGGGACAGCGGCTGCCTGAGGCTCCACGCACCCCGCCAGGCTCCTCCTGACGGCAGCGCCCAACGCACGGACCCCCCGATGGGTGGGGCTGGATGCAGCTGCTGGTCCTTCCTAGACTCGCCACGAAAACGGTCACAATCACGACCCCTCGGGGTTCCCTGGCCTCAGGATGTAAAGGGTGGTGCTTTCGCTGCTCTGGAAATCCACCCATCACCCAGCTCAACCCGATTCCGCTCCGTTTGCTAGGAACCCTCACGTCACCCTCAACCGTCCCGACTTAAAACATGCGCGCACACGTGCTCACAGACGCCAGCGCACCACGGACGGGACACGCCTCTCGTGCAGCTGAAACCTGCCAGGACTGTTGGGTAGAAACGAGGGGCGAGTCCAGGGTGTCGGGACCGTCCGCTCCTCCAGAGACCAGGGCTCGGCAGACAGCGGATGAGCCCACCTCTCCCGCAGGGCTTCCCGGGCTCCCGGGTCCACCACCTGCTCCCAAACTCTGCATGAAACACTCAAAAGTAGTGTTATCAAGCACTTCCCACTACACCAAAGAAGTCACAAAAATAATAAACTATGCAAATGATCACCTAGCTAAGGACTTTTGATGAAGGAAAGCCCTACTGATGGCTTAAATACTTGATAATTCCAGTCATAAATAGACTTGAGTCCAAAGCCCCAAAGAATGATCAAGTTCCACTTTGAATGGCCAGTACGTAATAGAAACATAGAAACTAGCTCCAGCTGAAACAGCAGACACAAAAGAAGCAGACTCACGTATGTAGAGAACACACTTGTGGATTCCAGCGGGAGGGGAGGGGAGGGGCAACACAAGGGCGGGGGTGGCAGCTGCATCTGCTGGGTGGAAGGGGCTCAAGAGTGGACCATACAACACAGGGAGCAAAGCCAGCTCTCTGTCACAACTGCAGGTGGAAAGTAACCTTGAAAATTGTATAACAATTAGAAAATTGACAGTAAATAAATAAACTAGCTAAAAACATAAAACAGCAGAGTCAACCTAATTTAACGCTCACTTTGGGACAAAGGCCAGTTTCTCACCAGTGCTCCCCTGACCTGACACTGAAGGGATGATCTGCCGGGTTCTAACTCGGAGCCTCTGCTGGCGGCCACGAGCCTCCCACGGACACGGTGGACCCTCCCGCGGAAGAGCCTCCCGGCCCGTGTGCAGGGACCCCCTCGGGGCTGGTGCAGCAGGAGGCGCGCCCACGTGGGCCCAGCACACCCCAGCACCGTGTTCCCGCACGGACGGCCCTCTCCTCCCCTCGAGGCCTGGTGCTCAGGCCTGCTGCCACCAGGACCGACGTGCCCTGGGGAAGCCGCCCTGCGCCGCCGTCTCTTGAGCCAGTGGTCGGCCCAGCAGGGTGTGTCACATGCAGGACTTGGTCCAAGACACGGGAGCAACCCCATCGGACGCCTCCTCCCAAACGATGACTTGCCGATGGGCAGACCAAGGTCCGTGATGACTCAAAAATGTGAAAACATGAAGGGGGCTCTTTGGGAATCTCACTGTACATTTCCCACGCGTGTTTATACGGGAATCCACCCTAGAGCTTGTCTTCAAAGGGAGAAACGGACAAGCAAGAGATACGCGCTGTGGCCTTGCTTATACAAGACACCGGAAAACACCCAATGCCAAAGAGAAGTAAATTATTTTATAGAAAAGTGTCTAATAAGAAAGCCAGCACTTCTGCCACCACGTGAAGTGACAAAGGCGGAGGCAGACCTGCCCCTGTGTCTTGACTGTAATCATTTAAACACTCTCTGTTCACAGGACCACACAGAGGACCGGGCTGTGGGACGAAGCAGGTGCAGTTTACGCCGCTGCTGGGGAGACCGTGGGGCGGAGGGGACGCAGGTCCGCGGGGTCCACGCGATGGTCCCCGCTAAGCTACCGAGAGGGCTCTGACGGCAAAGCCCGGAAGGCGGGGCCCTCGGGGCTGGGCCGCGGCGAGAGGGGCTGTCAGCGCCCGGCCGTCATCCTGGAAGGCTCTGGCGCCAGCTGCCCCCCCAGCTGCTCCCCTGCCACAGGTGGGGACTGTGTGTGGCCCACATTTTGAGCAGCGCCGCCTTAGCTGAGATGCCTGGGTGGGGACGCCAGAAATCGGGAAGAACCTAGCGTTTGAAGTCCTTTTAAGATAGAAATTTAAGAAAACCATTAACATAAAGGGAGAAGCTGCACTTAATGAATACAATTCAATAAGTGACAAGGTGACCATTTTGGCCTGGACTCAAGCTCAGGACAAGAGCCGTCTGAGCAGGGAGGACTCGGGGCGTCCTGGCTGTAACACCTCTGAGCTGACCGCATTTGCAAGGATAGGAAATCAGAGAGAGGGCTGGGGTACTCTAAGCAGGAAGATGTGCTAAACACAGGAGACCCGTGGGACACGGTCCGCTGTCTCTCCCAGGGTCCCTGCCCCTCCGCGTGAGGAGCCGCCGAGGCAGGACGTCCGAGCCCTGCGTCCACACAGGACTGGGCGGTGCGGCCCTAAAAGGGGTCAGGACGGAATGCCCTCTCCCAGCTCCACCCCTGACCTCGGACACCAGAGACAGAGATGGTGCACAGGGCCCGCGTGCCGTGTGCACGTGTGTACATGTGTGTGCACGGGGAGGGTGGGAGACAGAGAGACAGAAGTACAGAGAGGGACGAAGAGACAGAGACAGAGAGACAGACAGAGACAGAGGGAGAGACAGAGAGACAGACAGAGACAGAGGGAGAGACAGAAAGATAGAGACAGAGAGAGAGACACACAGAGACCGGGAGGCGTAAACACGCCTCCAGGAAGGCGAGTAGGGGTGTCAGGGGCGGACCCGAGCAGCGGGAAACACAGCGGTGAAGTCAAAGTGCAGAAAGGGGACAGGTGGGTGGGGGGGAGGCAGTGCATGGAGACCACATGGACGCACCTGTATCCCAAGGGGGCAAACGTGACATCATTACTTGGAGGTGACTGAACACACAAGTCGAATGGCTTTTATTTCTAAGTGACAACTGTAAGAGGAAATTTTACGATGGAAAAGCAAGTGTCAAGGCCTTTGATTAAAAGGGCACGTTTCTTTCAGGAGATGCATTGAAGGGGAAGGAAGGAGTCTGTTTACAAGACACACACGGAGGACAGCTTCACTCATCTTCTGAAGTGTGTTATTTTAATTGCAGCCCCTGACTTCACCTCTCTTCCTAAAAATGAGCGTTTTGCTGGGCCTGTCATGGACGTACAGTGACGGGGTCGGGTGGACGTCACGCACCCACGTGACACCTCTGCCTGGATGTCCTCTTGCCCTTGTGCTGCCTCCACCCCGCAGGGCTGGGTCCGTCCTCTGAGTGACGGGGCACAGCCGTCCACCAGGCATCCGTGGTTGGTTTGACTGAGAGCTTGCTTCCGGGTGGAAACACAGCTCTCTGTGACTTTTTCCAACCTAATGAAGTTCTGTGCCCGGCTAGGCGTCGGGGCTCCGTGGCTGCCCCAGGCCCCAGCCTCAACGAGCTCAGAGCTTGTTAACTGTTCTGACCGTATTCAGCTCAAATGATGCGATTTGACTAAATGGGTTCAAATGAACAGACTGTGGTCGACCTTCTCGTGGCTCGTGGGAAACAGCATTCAGGTTTGCGGCGCTGTTTTGTCCGAGGAAATGTCCTACGTTTTTGTTAAACTGAACTTCAGGGAAAGCTCAGTTTCACGGAGTGAGATGCTGGGCAGAGCAGCCATCGATGAAGAAAGAACGGGGGCGCCTGTGTGTTTACTGTGCGTTACCCCTGAGACTCCAGGAGCTGAATTTCTGCTCTGCCCGGCAGCCTCGGAGAGCTCACACGCAGCCCAGGAAAAGGGCGGGTGTCCGGGGCAGTCCGTCCACGCAGGAGGCCACAGCTTGCCAGCCTCTGCCGTCTGGGAGCACCAGAATGTCGGGGCAAAATCCTCTGGCCACTAGTGTCCCTTTGTCACTTAAAGAAATCAGAAAGTTAGTGACCATAAGGTACGTGACGCTAACACAGGGCAGGGCCCCTTCCTCCAGGCGGGGCTGGAAAACCACCCCTTTGGGCTCGTTCTGGCCAACGGGCTGCAGACCACAGAGGGCTGAATGGGGTTCGTAATGTATTAGGAAATTTTCTGTTCTGTTTTAGAGAGAAGCTCCTCTTCTCAATAACTCTGCCCAGATCCACCCCAGAGTCCGTGTGTTTTGAGGATCCTCGGGCCCTTGGGGGGCGGACGGGCCCGCCTGAGAGGGGCCCAGCGGCAAGGAGGGAAGCGACGGGTTTGAACTTAGCGTCCTGCGCACTATTCACACAGTGGTCAACGGTGTGACACGGAAGGCAGATTTGACCAGAGACAGAATCAGCTCTTCATTCCTGGCTGTAAGTCGCCCCTGCTGCCCCAGCCCCGGTTCTGGGACGTGTGAAGTTGTGCAGCTGCCGGTGGCCACGTAGGGCCCAGACCGTCCAGGACAGTGAACCAAGCCCGCATTTCTGCATGACCAGGCCACTACCCCCAGCACGGTCAGTCCCACGGGCGCTAAACCCGTGGGCTACGGGGCACTGGGACGGCATCGCGTTGTGGTAAAGCTGAACCGCAAACAAACAGGTGTGAGCAGGGTCCGGTTCTCCCCGGGACGCCACCACTGCCAACGGAGAAAGAGTGACCAGCGGGGAATGCTAGCGGCCGCGCCCTGAGCCCAGGGGCCGAGCTCACCTCTCCAGCGAGGTCACACACCTTCTCCGGTACGCTCCTGTCAAGACGCACACCCGGACCCCACCATGGGACCACCAGACACACCCCAGCCAGAGACAGTCCAAGAAGCACAACCAGACCTGGCCGGTCCTCAAGGCCACGGTGCCGTCCACCAGAGGCGGCGAGGGGGACGTGACCAGTGAGCGCACGCGTGCCTGCTCCTGGAAGGGACCCTGCTCCAGAGAAAGGCCCCTGGGAGACTTGACGCGGTCCGTACGTGAGTCAGCGGCATCGAATCCGTGCCGGCTTCCTGGCCTCGCTTGTTCCCTGCGGTTATGAAGTGTAACCGTGGGAAGCTGGTGAAGGGCACACGGGAATTACTTGTATTTTTTCTGCAAGTGTTTGCAGGTCTGAAATAATTTCAGATTTCAAAAAGTCTAAGGAAACATGCAGTGTGCAGTGACTCTCACATAAGATCCCACAGGAGGGTCTGGTGACAATGCTGCACGTTCTAGGGCCCGAAATAAAGCGGAGGGACAGAGGGGCCGTCGGTGCTGGTGTCGTCAAGCCGCTCCCCCCCGCCCCAGCCCAGACGCGGGAAGAGATCAGGGCAGCTGTGATCGCCAGCTGGACAGGGCAGGGCTGGGCAGAGATCCTGACCGCTGAGTGTTTGCTCCCACTCAGAAGAGGTTTCTGATTCTACAAGAGAATTAAGCTGGCTTTGCCTCAGTGCTTGGGGCTTCGACAACGCGGAACCAGCCACAGGGCCCTTGCAGTGACCTCCAAGGTCACAGTGTGCTCGCTGGACTCACCAGGCTCCTGGCTTCTCCCTCCTCAACGGGGTGGGCGGCATTTCCACTGTTCTCTCTCCCTCAGGCTCAGACACCGCACTGTCCTGCTTGATTTCACACAGTGACAGCGAGGGAGGGACGGCGTAGCACTGCTTGCCCTTTGTGGGGGACAGTGAGACCCCGAGGCGGGATGACTGGGGCCCCAGAATCGTCACCACCAGGCACCAAAGCACAGCCCAGCTTGATCTCACAGGAGAGCTTACGGTAGCTTGAAGTCTCCTCAAGTATAGAGCAGCGGTTTTGCAAGGGCGTCTTGCACCATTTGTGGCCTTTGGTGGAGGCGCTAACGGCAGCGGAGGGTCGGGACTCCACACTGAGAAGAAGATTCTCTATTTTATGGCTGCAGGGTGTGTGGGAGTGTTTGTGGCTGGACACAGATATGTCTGGAATGCTGAGAGAATGGGTCATCACAGTGACCTGTTTCTAGCTCTGGTTAACCCCAGGCCAACCAGGAATCTTTTGTCTTTGCTCTTTTGCTGCAGACTTGGCCTTTTTAATAAGTATGCACACGAGCTACTCAGGGTGCTCAGGGACCCAGCAGCACCTGGGACGTTCTGGTGACCACTGTCCTGATGACCGCACGGCAGAGCTGCAGCTGTGGGAGCTGGAAATACGGGAGGTGGGCAGAACGTTGCATGAACGCAGAACATTCCACGCAGGGGTGCCGGCGTTTATCACTGACCTCTGACTATAAAACTGCAACATTCTCCCTCCCTCCCCAAACCTGGCACATGGAGAGTTCCCAGGGCCTGAGGTTCGACTGCACCTGCTCAGGCTGAAATGTCTGGCTGCTGCCGGAGCTGCCCTCGACCCTGCAGGGAGGCGCTGCCCACATCCTGCCCCGTGCAGCCCTGGCCTGGGAGGAGGCCAGCCGGCCTGACCCTCGCTCCTCTCGAGAAAACCTCCACACAAAGACCCACCCCCGCAAAGCCCTGGCAGCCCCGAGGACTGGCCGACAGTACCTTTGTCTGAACCATGCGTGGCCTCTGGTCCCTCAAGTGCTCCAGCGTCGCGGCGATGTCGATCTCTTTAGCGCCTGCAACAAACACAAGTGGGGCTCAGCCCAGGCACAAGACAACCCGCGCTCTGCGTCCCTCGCCTGCTGCCGGGGTCCCTCAGGGCCCAGCGGCCAAATGACAACGACAGTCATCCCTCAGCTGCCCGGCTGGCAGGCAGTTTCAGGGTTCACACAAGAAAACAGGGCAAGGCGGCTTTCATTAGCATTGATTCAAGAAGGCTGGGCTGAAAAATGTTATCAACGCCTATATAGATACCCACAGCAAGCTGTCGCCAGGAGCGACTAAGGCTTTCCTGATTTTTTTTTTTTTTTGGTGGCATTTTAAGACTTTTATTTTGTTTGGCTGTGCTGCACAGCTTGCGGGATCTCAGTTCCCCGACCAGGGATTGAACCCGGGCCACAGCTGTGAAAGCCCGGAATCCTACCCACTAGGCCACCAGGGAACGCCCACGAATTTTTTTTTAAAGATAGTTTTGATGTGAACCATTTTTAAAGTCTTTATTGAATTTGTTACAATATTGCTTCCATTTTATGTTTCGGTTTTTTGGCCGCGAGGCATGTGGGATTAATTAATTAATTAATTCCCTGACCAGGGATCGAACCCGCACCTCCTGCATTGGAAGGCGAAGTCTTAACCACTGGACCATCAGGGAAGGCCCCCAACAATGTTTTAAGTCATAGGAAGTAGCATATAAACTTCAATTTCTATTGCATAGGATTTTTATTCAGAGAACTAATCTTATACATCTAAATATTGGCTTCTAAAGGCAGAGTCCCCTGCCTGTTAGAAGTGTGTTCCAAATGTTAAGAAAAGGTCAGGACGCCCCACATGCTCACGGGTTAGTCGTGTGGCTTAGATCCCCTCCTACAGACGCACCCACCTGACACCAGGTGACTTGGGTGCCACAGAAATACTACTATTTGAGTTTAAAAATGTAACCTTACGCATTCCGCGTATGTTCTTGTTTTTGCATCTCGCTAGGTCCTTTGGTAGCTGGACAACAAACAAGACTGGGTCCCGAGCTCGCGAGCTTCTTACAGTTCACAGGGGAGCATCTCACGTCTGCTGTGCAATCCTGTCAAATGCTGGGGGCTTGGGCGGGGCGCACCTCTGAAGTCAGCCGGGACCCCCCACCAACCCCCAGTAAGTGCATGTCACGCGCAGCATTTTGTCTCATGGTGCCAGAACTGTCACCACTCCCTGTTCAGGGGAAACTGAGGCTCGTCCCGGTCACGCAGAGCAGGTAGCCATGCTCATCGGACCCAGATGTGGAAGCGAGACCGGGCTGGTGGCCACCAGGACGGCTCTGGTCTCCCACTTCCATCACACCTGCGTGTGCACAGCCCTGCCCTTGGCCGGGAGCTGGGAGGCGCGCCTGAAAACGTCCCAGGCCGCGGCAGCCTTAGTGCCCTGGTTCATCCTGGAGGCCTGAGGCCCACGTGGGTGACAGCTGAGCCGCCAGCGCCTTTTTCCGAGTGGCAGGGAGATGCCGCTGGGGACATGGATGAGGGTGGGAGGGAAGGTGGGGGGACCGCACACTGTCTCAGGGAGAGGGTGCCTGAAGTGGGAGGGGCTGGCGGCTGGAGGGAAGGGGGACGGCTGGGAGGAAACACATTCCAACCAGGTGCTGTGCTCGCATCAGGGAAACTGCCACGAGTATTGGGAATCCGGCAGTAAGTCGCTGAGACCGGGAGGCCAGGATCCGGGCTGACCCCCCTCGGCCAGCACGGTGGCCAGTCCGAGTGCCTCGAGGTGTGGGGACAGTGTGGCATGAGCTCATCACATCTAAGCTGGCCATCCTTCCAGACAATGAACGCCCTCCGTCGGGTATGGGAACACCCCAAGCCCCCCCGACTCTTAAGTCAAAGTCTTTCTAGGAAGTCTTTCTTTCTGGGGGATCCGCCGAGAAACTCGTCCAGGTGGAAGACAGGGTCTCCTTCTGTTTGCCTGAAGGCTCCTCTGAAGGTGTCAGAAGTTTTTGAAAGCTGACAAGGTCACAAGATGTACAGTCTTGTTTGGGGGGGACCTGTGAGCCCAGAACAGCCTGAAACAGTGGGTGAAAGAGGAGCTACGGGGGGGTCCCCCGGCCACGTGCGCAGTGGCCCCCCGAGGAGCCCCTGTGCCAGGAACCTGCCTCCTCATCTCCCCAAAGGAACACGGAAATGGGCTTCTTCAAACCACAGGTTTGCCTTAAGAAAGTGAAGTCCTACGTGGAGAGCGAGCAAGGGAGGGGGTGTCCCACCCGAGACCTGAGTTCTCGTCCCCCCAGAAACACCCAGCTGCCGGGTCAGCGTGGCCCCTCTAGACGCAGCACGGAGCTGCTGCTGCTGCAGTTTAATTCCAAGCGTGAAGAGGCCCGGCTGTGGGCAGGACACGGAAAACCCCACCTGGGCGCGTCCGGGGCGGGCATGAAGCTCCAGCGGGCGCAGGGCAGCGAGGGGCCTCGCGGGGAGCCGTGAGTCAGCGCGTGGTGACCGCGCGATGCGCAGAACGTATTAGCTGCTCAGTGAATGTGACCCCGCGGATTCTGTGAGCAGAGCCTTCTGGGAGAAGTGCTATCTCTGGGCAGCTCTGTCCTCCCGTGCCGTGGACGCCAGGAGAACAAGGTGTGGAGTGGAGGTTGATTCATCAGCTCAGAGACGATCCTAGTCCTTTAAAAACAAAATCCTGAGGGGTCCAGACTTAACCCCCCACTTTTTAAGGTTGCTCAGGGCAGCGTCTTTAGTCCTTGAAACTCGTTTGAAAGACTCTTTCAACAGCCCTTTTCTTCCAAAGGGCTAGTCTGAACAAGAGAACCAGCATGAAGTCCCGAATCCCCCGTCCCTCCTCCGTCACCCTGGAGCGACTCTGCAGGGCTCTGCCTGGGGCCACGTGCAGGTCCCCTCCGAAGGCAGCTCCGTGGGGAGACTGCAGGGCCACTGGGTGACGCTCTGATCAGGTGCTACAGACGAAACCTCTCTCTTCACTGCACTCTCCTTCGGACGACCGCTGACAGAGGAAGGAGAAGGCCTACTTAGGTTTTCCCTAGACAGGGTCTGGGGAACGCGAAACGCCCGGGGACCACGTCTCAGATCACGCTTAGCCTGAAGCCAAGGCTCAACAGTGGAGGGAATCAAATTGAAGCTTATGAAACCGTACGGCGCTGCAAACAGAGAAGCAATGGATTCATCAGGTAGATCAGTGTCCGACGTGGACGGCTGCTGTCTCCCCGCGTGTTAGGATGGAGGAGAGTTAGTCGTCTGAAGTGTGTGTGGAGAGAGAAGTTTTAGCAGAACACACACGCAGGATCTTCTATGAGGGCCGGGAGGCACGGCCCTGCACCCTGTTCGGTGACCCCGGGCATCCTGGTAACCCTGAGGTGCACGAGACACACAGTCTGCGTTGGTAAACCAGAGCCTCGGGGCTGGAGGGAGGGGGGTGCGTCCTCTTCACCTTATAACAGGCTTTACTGAAGGTAAAAGGATTTACTTAAATCCCCCAATAGCTAGGAAGCTCCCTCTAGTGCTTTTAAAATGGAATGCTCTCTACAAATCCCATTTTGCTGATCGCATGTCAAGGTCCAGGCGAACAGACACATGAGGTGCGGTGCTCAGGTCGAAACGCATGTGACTAGTTGAGGAATTAATTATAACAGATGCAAATAAAACCCGGACAGAAGACGGGGTGTGATTTCAGGGAGAGGTTTCTGGCATTTTCTATTGGATATTTGAATACAAGAGGAACGTATGTGCTTATTTAAGTCATCCTGTGGTCGGTCGAAGCTGGTGATTCCATGAATGTACAGCACAGACAGAGGCAGCCTGTGCACTTGGGCCCAGCACCGCACAGGGCGACTGTGAGTCAGTCTGACCCATCTTTCCCGGCACCAGTGACCCAGCAGGTGTGCTGCAGACTCGAGGCCGGAGTGGCCGGCGGGGTCCTGAGAGACACTGGCCCGGCGCCACCCAGAGCACCGACCAACACACCCGAAGGGCTGCCACTGCGGCTTCCCAGTGTGCGCGGTGGGGTGGGGGGCATTGGCTCCGAAGTTCACATTATTGGTTAAATACATTTTTAAGACAACAGGGGTTTTTAAGCTTTAGATAAAAAAGTATTCGTCATCAAACAAGAAACATCGAAAGAACTTAGTATCAGCACAATATTAAAAGTTTCTTAGGATGCGAGAGCCAATTCAGAGTGAAAGAAAGCCAAGCGAACGGGCCACTGGTACCTCCTACGAGGCTTGCTCTGGCTCCCCCGGTGACTGCTGGCTAGTGCACGGGGCGCCCTTGTCTCTCCCCGTCCTCTGCGTCCACACGTCCTCAGCAACATCACGTAATAAACAGAAATACATTTTGCTGCAGAGTTTTTACCAGAAGGTCTTGCAAACCGCAGGGATGCAATGTATCCTTTTTTCTTGTTAAAAAAAGCCCTCATGCGTCAAGCGCACGAGAGAGAGAGGCCTTTATTTTGCAGGAGGAAATTGTCTCAATTCCACCCTCTGGGAGAACTGAGGAGAGCTCTGCTCCCCGCTAAACACACCTAAAGGGGCGAAGGAAGAGTGGTGACGGTCGTGAGCCCGCAAGGGGCACTGCCTATGTCCCAGGACGAAGCCAGAGCTGTCTGGGCGCCGAGCTGGGTCCCGAGAGTCTGTGGTCTTCGGCCGAGCTCCGTTTGGGGAGGAAGGGCTGAGCAGGGTGGGCAGGGCCAGCGCGAGGCCTCAGCCCTGCAACCAGCAGGGCTGGAGGTCACAGCTGGGGCTCCCTCTGGGTCAGCAGGATGACCGAGCCTTGACCCCAGGCGCCGTGAGTCAGGGAGCACCACAGCCGGAGGGCAGCCCTCCTCCCGCCTCTGGGTGTCTCTGGGTGCAGGTGCCGCCTCCAGACCCTGGCCTCCCACTGTGCACACACGTGGGCACGTTCCCACACACTCCCCCACGGTGCGCACGCACACGCACACGCACGCACGCACACGCACACACTCTGTCCTGGGTCTTCCGTGCCGAGCAGTTTCTACTTCATGCTTCCGGATGCTCTGA